GGCCTTAATACTACGATTTAAGGTATATTCCTTGATTCAGGGGCAGTGGGTTGTCTGGGTACCCCCTTCCACTGCCGGAAGGCACATAACTGTAGCCCTTGAACTCCAACTCTAAAGGCTTAAGGTAGAGCCCTTATGAAGATGTGCTTCCTTTCATGTCCTCAAACTATAGTCTATAGATCCTAGGTTTCATACTTTTTTCAAAAGGAGAGAAAGTATGTTGATTTCCCGAAACCCTAAACCTCGAACTTTGCTCCCCAAACCTTGCGACCCTAAACCCTAAACCCTAAACCCTAAACCCTAAACCCTAAACCGTAAGCCCATGGCATCCCACTTGTATTTCCAGACGAGAGGGATCACCAGGGGATGGGTCCCGGATCTAGTTCTGTACCCAGAGAACGCAATACCCCTTGATTAAGGAATATACCTTAACTTTAAACCAACCCTAAACCCTAAACCTTGCCTTAATAGTCTGATTTAAGGCCCTCCTTAATTAAGGGATGTTGGGTTATCCGGGTCAGAGTTCATGTTCCGGGTTCCATAAGAGTTCCTCGAAGTCGTGGTTCTATAAGGGTCCCTGTTACGGGCTCTATAAGCGTTCTTTTCGGTTAAGGTTTAGGGCTTAGGGTTTAGGGTTTAGGGTTTAGGGGTTAGGGTCTATAAGCGTTCCTTTCCAGGGTTCTTTAAGGGTTCCTTTTCAGGGTTCTGTAAGGGTTCTTTCTTACTTTTGCTGGTAGAAGACAGACATGATGAGTTGCTGTGTACTACCGATCAGTGTTTATAGAATACAACCTTGCGATGGAATGCCCAGCGGCAGGAAAATGCCCAAACACGACTTCCCTTCAAATCGTAATTGCACCCTAAGTCCGAACTCCCGGACCAACAAGAAGCCTTACATTCTTACATATCCTAAATCCAGAAAATCCAAACAAGAACAGATCATAATCCCGGAAAAGTACGGTACCCTACTTGAAAAAAGGATCCTAAAAGAAAAGCCTGAAAGCCCCTACAGAAACTCTCATAGAAACGCTCTTTTAAGCAACAACCCCTAATTCCTGAACCCTGAACCCTAAACCCCTAAACCCTAAACCCCGAACCCTAAACGGGACCCCTAATCTCGAGAACTACCCGAATGCTTTTGAGAGCCGCAGATCCGCCAAGGGCTTCAGTCCCTGTTTAACCCTTGCTTGTCTTTTGAAAACCCAAGTCGCCCAGCCATCGATAGGGACCAGGTCCGGCTTGATGAAGATAGGCCGGAGGGCATATGCAAAGATTTGGAGGAACATGAACAAGGCCTGGTACTGCAGGGTCTAAGAGGCTAGCAGGGCTTCCCTGAGAACCCAATACCCCTGAATCAAGGAATACACCTTTAGTTACAGAGGCCCCCATATTATGATCTAAAAATAGATTCCCCAATTAAGGGGTATTGGGTGCTCTGGGTTCGTGTTTTATGAGTATACCAAGGGTCAATGAGTCAATGGATCTGGAAAAGTAGGGACCCTACACCCTAAACCCTTAACCCTAAACCCTAAACCCTGAACCCTAAACCCTAAACCCGGCCTACAGTAGAAGCCCAAAAGTTCGAAACCTAATAGCCTCAATCCTTAAGAGTAATGTATAGGGTTTAGGGTTTTGGGTTTAGGGTCTAGGGTTTAGGGTTTAGGGTTTAGAGAATCCCAGCACTAATGGACCCTAAAACCTAAACCCTAGACCCTGAACCCTTAATGAGGCTTCCGACGAACTTCCAGACTTGTTGCTGCTTTTCTACCCAACTCAAGCGAAGAACATGAACGAAGCTTCCCACCGGAGGGCTGACTATAGGGATCTTAATTATTCTAGTAGGGTTCGCGGGATATTATACTAACCTTTAACCAGTTTAATTGAGGGGTCTTAATAATTTTAGTAGGGTTTGCGGTATATTATAGTTACTATAAATATAATAAGTAGCCCCCCCAAAACCATAATAAGGAGCCCCCCAAAACCTTATTCTAATTATTAAGGCCCCTACAGTACGGATTTAAGGACAGGGAAGAAGGGACGACAGGATTCTGGAACGGTTGGGTTGACACCCTAAATCCCTAAATCGACTTTTGGCGTCGCTTCGTTGACGTCAAGCGCGGAAAGTAAGAAAAACTTAGTAATCATAATTAACCACACCAGTGGTGCCACAAACAGCGGTGTTTATACTGATACTAATGATGACAACTTTCCTCCGGGTTTAGGGCACAGCGCCCAGGCGCGGGTGTTTCCAGCGAAAGCTCCACAATCCCTGACCCTGCAAGCACCCAAAGATCTGAACCCCCAGAGATGGCCCTGTGGTTTTTGCATGCATATAGCCCTAGCCATAGGCCCCATAGTCGTTCCTTTTCGGGGTTACCTTATAGGGTTCTATATATGAACCCCAAGAAGGATCTATTTTAGGGCCTATGGGTATGGCCCTACACCCTAAACCCTACAATAACTCTACAGCGGAAGTTTTAAGGAATAGCGTTGCTCATGATTCCAAAACCAAAACCCATACCCTAAACCTCCCAAAGCATGAAAGCGGCCTGCCTTCCTCAGCGTGTGGTCCACGTAGTTCATACACGTCTGGGTGATGAGGTAGCCTTCGAAGCTTTCCCCGAAGCTCCCTGAACCCTAAGCCCGACCTGAGCCCCAAGAAACCTAACATTTTTGGGGTTCCTCAGTCCCGAAGGGGGTAGGTTATTTGGGGTTAGGGTGAACATGTGAGCTCCCAACAGTTTCATTTGCTGGGTATCGCAGGATCAGGTCAGCCACCTGAAAAGCCCAGCATAGATGACCAAAGCTTCATGCAACCCCGACCTTGGACCCTAAACCCTAAACCCCTACGCCCTAAACCAAGCGACCCTAACTTCACTTCCAGATAGTCGTTTCGAGGCTCCCAAATTTATACCGCCTGATTGAGCAAGGGAAATGCTACGGTTAGGGCCCTAGTCCCTGGAAGCATCGGCTTAGGATTCAAGGAATGCCTATAGCCTCCATTGTAGTTCCTTTTTTTGGTCGACCATCTTTATTGGCTAGGATCCTATAGAATATATTTGGCTAACCCTATATGCCTCCAAGGACCTTATAGTTAGGGCCCTAGACCCCTGAAGGACCCAATAATAAGGTCCCTGGAAGCAGAGGGTAACCAAAATGGTAAGGAACTACAATGGAGACTATAGGTAGGTTTTGACTTCGGGGCCGAGACATGTGAAGCGGGGAGATGCCTGAAAATTGCAGCCATCACCAAAGCAACGGACGTACCATCATACCCAGGAGTCGTACAGCATTGAGGCCCCTGTACTGTCTGAAACGACAACCAGGAAACGGTTTAGGCTTTACTGGTTCCTTGTTGGGGCTATGATTTAGAAATAGTCATGTTTAATCCTTATTGGGTTGTATTACAACAAAAAGTAAAATTGTACCCGAGGACAGAGTTTAGGGTGCAGGATGTAGGGCCTGAAGCGCTAAGGCCTAAACCCTACAAAAACCGAAGAGCTTGGTGGGTTTTGTACCACTAAACACCATAAGAAGGACCCCCAGGAATGCGACACTCCTTGTTCAGGTTTTCCCTGGAGCTCCAGTTACCCAAATAATGGGTTACTAGGCATAAGTATCAGCAGCCCTAAACCCCAAACCCTAAACCTTTAGGGTAGGTGGAGCACATGGGTTATTAGCTTAGGGTTTAGGGTTTATGGTCGGTGGATCCCACAAATGGCCTACCCTAAACCCTAAAACCCTAAAAACCTAAACCAAGGAACCCTAGACCCTAACCCTAAACCCTGAACCCGCAAAATAGCCTTCCAAAGCAGTCGGGACGTCCGTGTCGATGCCATCCACGCCCTGGTTGCGGTGATGCGCCATGTGGTACCTGCACGGAGTGGGTTCCTGGGGGTTTAGGGTTTAGGGGTTTAGGGGTTTAGGGTTTAGGGTTTAGGGTTTAGGGTTTAGGATTTAGGGTTCCCAGAGATCCCAATACCCCTTAATTAAGGAAAGTACCATAAAATAAAGTGGCCTTAATATTATGATTTAAGGGATAATCCTTAATTAAGGGGTATTGGGTTCTCTGGGTTCCCGGGTTTTAGGGTTTAGGGGTTTAGGCTTCCTGGGTTTAGGGGTTTAGGGTTCTAAGGTTTTAGGGTTTCGGGTTTTAGGGTTTAGCGTTTAGGGTTTAAGGTTTTAGGGTTTAGGGTTTTAGGGTTCAGAGTCTAGGGTTGCCAGAGAGCCCAATACCCTTTAATTAAGGAATATACCTTAAATCATAATATTAACTAAGGTCCCTATAATTTAATTACGGAGTATTGGGTTCTCTGGGTTTAGGGCTTAGGGTGGTACCAGAACTCAAACACATGGCTATGTTCAGAAACCACTCAAGAGTCTTCTCATAACAACCCTTCTATATCCCACATTAGGGGACCTCTACCAAAGACTGCACTGGAGTGAGGAAAACTCCTGATAAGCACTAGATTCACGAATACGGGGACTTAATGACAGCGCACTTAAACTATCACCTAAGAACACCCAAATGTCACAGTCAGAAGTCCTGATCGCAGGTCTCGTGTAAGCCTTACCTTCTCAGCCTTAACTTAAGCCGTATGGGCCGACGCTCTGTAAACCCAAAGCAGCTAATGTAGGAGCCTAATTGATTACCTATACTATTTTGGGGTATCCTTACTATAACTAAGTATAGCATAATGGGCCCCAAAACCCTATTCTGATTATTAAGGCCCCTATAAACCCTAAACCCTAAACCCTAAGTATAGCATAATGGGCCCCAAAACCCTGTTCTGATTATTAAAGCGCCTATATATTAATGGAATCCGAAAGATCGGCTGCTGTGGAGTTTACTTGAAGGGCCAGCCTTTCTAAGTGGTACAGGGGCCTGAAACAACTAGACGTGGTCTTGTGGTATTTTGCGGTATGTATGCATGTATGTATGTACGCATATATATATATATATATGTATGTATGCATATAGACATAATGTATCTACAACTACATATATATATATATACACATACGTATGCACACATATTATATATATATATATACATATAGATAAAGTTTGTATATTCTGAGTACTTGTGGGGGACAATATTGCGAGTTGCCCTGACCCCCAGGATAGGCTCTAGCTACAACCTGGGCCCCAAGAAACCTAAATATCTAGGGTTCCTTATCCTTCTTTCCTTATATAAACCACAGAGAAGCTCGGGTTTGGGGGTGCTAAGGAATAGCTACCTCAATCAGGAGCAGCCCATCTTCATAGGTCTCAGTGGAAGCCCAAATATTTAAAGCATCCAAATTTATCGGGACTCTATGCAAGACAATTCTTGCAGGCTGAGGTTCAGAACACTGAAGGAATAGCACTGGTCGTATCCTAAGCTTTAGAGGGTCTGAAGTTGAAACGGGGATCTGTAGTGAATCCCACGATTTCCTGATCTAAATCTAAAGGGATCCTCTGGGATTGTCTCGGAATTATCGTACCCTAAACAGGGTCTACCGTGACCTGCCCTACTAAGAACTAAACCCTAAACCCTAAACATATAGTACCCAGTAAGACCCCTTATGAACCCCCTTTAAAGGAACCCTAAAACATTTTGTACCCTGTAAGACCTCTTATGGACCCCTTTGAAGGAACCCGAACGGGGCAAGACTGGAAGGAGAGAAGAGGCCATATTAAGCCTGAACCCAAAACCCCATTAAACACTGAACCCTAAACCCCATTAAACCCTAAACCCCAAACCCTAAACCCTGAACCCCAAACCCTAAACCCACTGCTTTCTGCGCTGAGGTCCGGGCGGTTTAAAAGTGATGCAATAGGGGAAAACGATCGGCAGGTTGGCGACCATACCTTGTGGCTTAGGGCAGTTTAGGGTTTAGGGTTTAGGGTTAGGGTTTAGGGCTTAGGGATATGGGAAAACGACCGGTTGATGACATAAAGGGTATATAGGGTATAGGGTTTATGGTTTTAGGGTTTAGGGTTTAGACTGTTTAAGGTTAGAAGTACGGGCCCCTAATATGGACCCTTAGGCCTTTCTAGGGACGCTTAAGCGTACCAATAGGGTATATAGTAGGTGTATAAGGATCCCAGGGTTAAAGGCCCATACTAGGGGTCCATGGCTTCAACCTTAGCATACCTTGGTTTTAGGGTCCTGGGGGCTTGAGGGTACAGGCGGTGTACGGGTTTTCAGGGTTTCAGCGTTTTTGACCCCAATCAAGGGACTGGCTTAAGATCTCCGGGTATGCTGGACTCCGGTTTTTGACTAACTGATTAAAGCGAACCTCAACAAAAAAGTAGACTATCTTGGTAGTCCCAGGGTTCGGGGTTTCCACCTTACTGTCTGAGCCCCCGAAGGCAAGGGACTGCAAAGCCGAAAGGCACTATGGGTTGAGGGAATAGGACTTGTTGGACTTGTCCTAGATCCTGCACCCTCCGAGCCCAAAACACAAGCCCCAACTCCTAACCCCGAAAAGCCCTAAGATCCTACAACAGCACAAAGCCCTAAACTAAACCCATCCAGAGCTTCCAAGATGCCGATGAGCTTGTTGGCCTGAGCTGTCTGTTCTTCATAGGCTTGAGGGTTAAAGGGGTTAGTATAGGGGCGTTAGTAACTAGAATTGGGTGTTGGGGTACAGCATAAGATAATTCTGCAGGGGCTATAATAACGGGATATGGTTGGTAATTCTTCCGAGTTACGAAGCATTAGAGTTATAAAGAAGAAAAGTTATGCACTTAGTAGGCTACAAGGTTTAGCGTATTGAGTCCGCTTGTGGTTTACGTTAACTGTGTGAACAAGCACAAGTAATCGAACGGCTTGCAAAACCCTGAACCCCGAAGCGGCTGAACCCCAAAGATCTACAGGTCCAAGCCCTAAACCGAAAGGCTCTTGCCAGCAACCTAAAGTTCAGGACTAAACCCTAAACCCTCGACACAACACCCGAAAGCCTACTAAACCCTCCTATACAGACCCTACTCTAAGGAATTCTCCCCCCCCATATGTGTTGCTATAGTCTGAGTCCCTAGCCCCCCCCCAAAAAAAAACGTCGACCTTTCAAACTTTCAAGTTCAAGTAGGACTAAAATAAGCCCCCAAAGGTTAAAGGTTACCCACTCTTCCCCTATCTTGGCTGACTTCTGAAGCCCTCCTAGAAGTTAGACTTTCAGCCGACTTACTATAGTTCATATAGAAACCCCAAAAAGTTAAAGTCCAAAGAGCCAACCAGAAGAACGCCAAGAGCAGTTTACTCACGGCCCTGAAAATTTAAGGTATATTCCTTCATTCCCTTATAGAAGCCCTCATAGATCCCTTGAAGGAACCCTTTACGGTATATTCCATAATTAAGGGGTATTGGATTGTCTGGATTGCTCAGCCCCTACACGCCAAACCCCAAACCCCAAACCCTAAACCCCCAAACCCCAAACCCTAAACCCCTAAACCCAAAGCCCCTAAACCCGAAACCCCCTGAACCCCTAAAGAACGCCGAGACTAGTTCCTTAAGGACCAAATGACCCTTAAAAGTAGGGGCCCTGTGCCAGTATACCATGAATCCCTATATGGTATATGAGCCCTAAACCCTAAACCCGATTCTACTTATTAAGGCCCCTAAACCCTAAACCCTATTAGGGTTCTTTTCATCCTTAAGGTTTACTCAACCAGACGAAGCGGCCGCCATCGACTTGGCCCCAAGGCCGTGGGCCAACTCGTGGATGGCCAAGAAGAGCCTTCTCTCTGCGCGTGTTTAAAAAGAAGGGCCCTTTATAAGTAGAATAGGGTTTAGGGTTTGGGGTTTAGGGTTTAGGGTTTGGGGTTTAGGGGCCTTAATAAGTGGAATAGGGCTTAAAGGGTTCAGGGTTTAGGGTTTAGGGGCCTTAATAAGTAGAATAGGGTTTAGGGTTTAGAATGTAGGGGCCTTAATAGTTAGAATAGGATTCCTTCAGGGATCTATGATAGGGCTTTCTAATAGGAGCTTTTATAATTGCAATAGGGTTTGGGGGTATACTATACTATAATTCGGGTTTAGGGTTCCAGGGGTTCGGGTTTAGTGCTTAGAGGCTCGCGTTTTTGGGCGTAGGGTTTCAGGGTTTGGGGTTAGAGGGTTTTGGCGTCTAGGGTTTTTGGTCTAGGGCGTGGGGGCTGGTAACAGTTCCTGTGGCTTTAGAGGGGCGAATACACATTTATGTTGGGGTTCTCGTCCACAAACTTCATCTAGGTTACCATAGTTGATATCGTTGTCGCTGTTTCACTGTTGAATCTACCTAAGCGAAACTTCCTTAACAAGACCTGAGTCAACTGTGGCTTAAAGATGCAGGACGTACGAGTTCGGAAGTTACCCGTTTGCTTAGGGTGCAGGGCATGAACTTTCAATCGCGTAGTTGGGAGTGTTCGGATAAATTGGCGACACATGCTAATTCTGGTATAGTGGAAGTTTAAGTCTCCGGTACATCAGATGGGCCTTCGACGGGTTTAGGCAAGTCGGACCCCCACCCTCCACCGCCCCCTCACCCCCAAAAAGTGCTAGAGTTTGGGCCTCAGTGTTATGGGACTCCTGCTTACTTCTCCAGTAACCTAGGAGACCCACAAAAAGCCTTTGGGTATCCGAAATCGGTTAAAAGGTTACCGACAAACCCTAAACCCTAAACCCTAAACGCTAAATCCTAAACCCTACTCAACGCCCTAAGCCCGGAACACTTTGAGGTTTAAGGTTTAGGGTTTTAGGGTTTAGACTGTTAGGGTTTAAGGCTTTAGGGTTTAATATGGGGTTATTGGGGTTTGGGGTTTTAGGGTTTGGTTTTTTTGGGGGGGTTCAGGGTTTCAGGGTGTTAAATCAAGGGGTTTGGGATTTTAGGGTTTAGAGTTTTAGGGCCAGGAACCCTGCTTGAAGGTTATGGGAAGCTAGGAGTACGCGGTTTTTGGCTGAGCAAGCCGGCGAAATTCGGGTCGTCCGACAATTCTCCAGCAAAGGATACCTTCTATGATGCCCTATTATGTGGTCAGAGCCGTCTACCCAAAACAACAATGTAACAAACCAGGCAACTCTGAATGAGGGTCTAGATGCTATAGAATTGCAGGGGCCTTGAACTCATCAGAGTAGGGTGTCCGGCGGGGACGGGGTGGGTCTGCGAGCAGTGTGTGCGTGTGCATGTGTATATATATATATATATGTAGAGAGAGAGTGTGTGTGTGTGTATGTGTAAGACAGTGAGAGTGAGAGTGAGAGTGAGAGAGAGAGAGAGAGTGAGAGTGAGAGTGAGAGTGAGAGTGAGAGTGAGAGTGAGAGTGAGAGTTCATGTAGGTGCCTTAATAATTAGAATAGGGTTTTGGGGATATTATAGCTATAATAAGGAACCCCCGAAATAGTATATAGGTAATTATGTGGGCCCCCCTTTTTTTAGAGTGAGAGTGAGACCATTCCGTCATTTTTGCCTAGCAAGCGTTCCCCAGGAATCTTTCCCTTAACGAAACCCAGAAGAAAGCCCTAAAGGAGCCTTCAAGGGAACCCGAAACCATACACCCTAAACCCTATAAACCCTAAACCCTAAACCTTATAAACCCTAAACCCTATGAAACCCTCTAAACCCGAAGCCCTATAAACCCTAAACCCTATAAACCCTCTAAGCCCTAAACCCTAGACCCCCGTAAAAAGGAACAGGAATCTTTCCTCCGCCGCCAGGCGGCGAGTGATTGGCCGTAGCACCGATCACGTAGACAGCGACAAGGAATCTCGGAGCCGGGCCGGTTTAGGGTTTAGGGTTTATAGGGTTTTGGGTGTAGGGTTTAGGGTTAGGGTTTTGGGCCACATTGTACCCAGAGAACCCAATACCCCTTAATTAAAGAATATGTACCTTAAATTATAAGGGCCTGAATATTATGATTTAAGGTACATTCCCTATTTAAGAGGTCTTGGGTTCTCTGGGTAAGGGTTTCTTAAGGGTTAAAAGCGTTCCTTTATAGGGTTTAGGGTGTAGGGAAGAGGTTCCTTTGAGGGGTTCCTTTGAAAGGCTCCTCTGGGGGGCTCCTTTAAAGGGGTTTCTTTAAGGGGCTCCTTTAAGGGGTTCCTTGAAGGGTTTCTCTAAGAGTTCCCACTTGTAAGGCTTTCTATACGTGTTGCATAGCGTCACAGTAGAAGATAATTTTATAAGGGCTCCCTTGCTGCACGATTGATTCATGGATTTGGGGTTTTGGGGTTTATAAGGCTAGGGTTGCGGTGACTATGCTCCCAGAGAACCCAATACCCCTTAATCAAGGAATGTACCTTAAATAATAAGGGCCTTAATCTTATGATCTAAGGTATACTCCTTATTTAAGCGGTAGTGGGTTCTCTGGGCGATTGCAATGACGATGACTCCTGTTGCTACGGGATTTCTGCGGCCTTGGGGTAAAAGTCTTCTCAGGGCAGGTCGGTTCAGTCGTATTGGCCTGCATACAAAGCTTGGCGCGGTGGTACTCTTGGGCCCAAAGTAGCCGGTAAGCCGGCTAATTTGGCAACAGTTTCTTTAGAGCGCGAACCATGTTTTGAAGGCTTCGAAAGGGTTTTACCCGGTTTTCGCTGGGTAGCGCAGTATTTGTGACTGCCAGGGTGGCTTTTCAGGGGTCGAGGGCTTCCGTATGAAGCCCTGATAAGCACACCACCCTTTCCCTCGGGCTCCAGTTACGTAAATAGTAGGTTGCATACCCTAAACCTAGACCCTAAACCCTAAACCCTAAACCCTAAACCCTAAACGTATATTTTATGCTCCAGTCACCCAATTTGTAGGTTACCGGAGCCATGGGGTTTCTTTAAGGGCCAAGTAGTAGGAAGACCACACTTATACTCGCAAGTGGGTAAGATTGGGCTTCGGGTTTAGAGCTTGGGGCCTTGGGGTTTAGGGTATCATTAGGGAGACCCCTTACAGGGGACCCTTCTAAACCCTACTTCTGGATCTCTTGACAGGGACATTACTGAGAGGGTCTATGTCCCCAAGGGTGCCTTTAATGGGTTTAGGGTTTAGGGTTTAGGGTTTAGGGTTTAGGGTTTCGGGGAAAGGCGCTTGCTCACCAGTGGCACTCAGTAGCTATTCTGACTACCGGTCCGCAAAGACGGCCATGAACATAAGCCAAAACCAGAATAGGATCTTTGTGGTACAACGTGGTATATCCATACGAGGACCGTAATGGCTAATTCTTCCGATCACTGTATTCGGTAAGTTGCCCTGAGCGTTTAAGAAGGACCTGTGGAGCACCCCTCAAATACTTATCGAATTTCTGAATTTGCCTGCATGCAAGGCAACTGTAAACTACACCCATTACGGTGAGGATCGCAAAATTGAAGAACAAGATAACGGGAAAGAAGGTAGCACCTGCATCAGACAAAGACTGCAACCGATACACCCATGCACCCAATGGCGATCGGCTCTTGGCAGGGCTACCGAGAGTTCGAGCAGGGATGTAGGGCTCCCTAAACCCTAAACCCTAAACCCTAAACCCTAAACCCTTTACAGAGTTCAGGACTTTGGGACTTTAGGCCGCCCGGGCGCAAGCCTTTAAGGTTGATGTTTAAAGCGGTTTAGGGTTTAGGGTTTAGGGTTTAGGGTTTAGGGTTAATGCCAGCCTGAGTAAACCAGTAGTACTGCAAGCACCAGGCTAATTGCTATGGTTGTTGCCATTTGCATTATGGCGAACGTAGGGGCTTTAATAAATAGTTCGAATAAGGTTCTGGGCTACTTCATAGTCAAAGTATAATACGGAACCGCAAAATAGCATTGGTAATTACTACGGCCCCTATACTCTAGCCAGTCTTCTTGCTGCTGCGGTTGGGAGCATTTCTTAGACCGTGATGAAACCAGGGCCCCAACAATCCCTTAACAAAGCACTGGACAAGAGATCAAAATTACTCACACAAAAACCTGCGCAAACCCTCCTTAAACCCTAAACCCTGAATCCGAGCACCCTTACAGAACCCATCAGAGACCCTTGAGGGAGCCCTTGAAGGAATCCTTAAAGGAACCCCTCAAGGAACCCATGAAACCGGTGTAGGGTTTAGGATTTACGGCCATGCAGCGAGCAGGTAGACCAGCCACGTGTGGCAAGAGCCATGAAAATCTGCAACAAGCTTGGCGATCTACGGCTTAGGGCTGGTATCTACAACCTAAACCCTAAACTCCTAAACCGTAAAGTTTAGGTCTAAGGTTTAGGGCAAGGGCAAGGATGATTTAGGGATTAGATGCGCGGATTAGGGTTAAGGAGTTTGGGCTAGTAGGGTGTAGGGTTTGGTTTAAAATTTAGGGTTTAGGGGTTTGGGCTAGCAGGGTTCAGGTTTGTAGGCAGGATTTGGTGCGGCTCCGCACCCTTCCTCAGATACATTTACAAACGCCTTGTTGTTTGTATTCGCACTCCGCTCCCACAAGAGGACCAGGAGTGTGAAGATGACACAGAATCCCAGGGGCATGGCCACGTATGGCCCAACGATCCCATCCCACATTGCCACAGCAGCGGAAGCGACAGCCGAGAAGATGAGAAAGGAGGCCTCGGTGATGCGCAAGAGACAGCGCCGCCAGGAAATCTAGGTTCTCCACGGCTTCAACCGCCGAGGCCATTTTGGCAGACGCCAACTCGCGTTCGCGCTGGCTCCTCTCCCTATCACTATAATCTCGCGCAAGATGACCCCCGGTAGCAAGGTCCCCACATCAGACGAGCCCTTTACATAGGGGAATAATTAGGGTTTTGGAGAAAATTATACTGTAGTCATACTGAGGAACCCAAGGAATAGTATTGGTTAGATGCTATCTAAGAAGCCCATATGTGAACTCTACGCCCTCTACTGAGAGTTCGGGCAAATCGAGCGCAGGGGCTTGGGTTTAACGCTTGAGCTCCCAAACCTTCCATGCTTGGGGTTCCTTCTTAGGACTTCCCTATAGTAAGAATCCCTAAACCCTAAACCCTAAACCCTAAACCCCTAAACCCTATAGTAAGAATCCCTAAACAGGTAGGTTCTGCGTATGCTCCAGGTTTGGGGATTGAGATTCTTTCATGGGCTTGTGTGCAAAACTCGTGCACTGCGAAGGTTTAGGGGGTTTAGGGTTTAGAGCTTTAGGGCTTCAGGGGTTTAGGGTTTAGGGGTTTAGGGTTTCGGGGGTTACGGGGTTAGGTGCTTAGGGTCTAGGGTTTAAGGTTACTTCAGCAGCATAGATATGGAGGGCTGCCAAACCTCCAATCCTAAGACCCTACACCCCGTACCCCAAGATCCTAAACCCTAAGGGTCCAAGTACCTAATAATCATATACTCTCTCACATACTAACCTACATAACTACTAAACCCTAATAGCCTAAACCCTAAACCCTACAGTAAATCCTGAAACCCTAAACACTAAACCCTAANNAACCCCAAACCCTCAACCCTAAACCAGGCTCCTTTGGACCCTTGGGGAAACCTTAAACCCGAGGATCCTACGCCCTGAATTCCCAAGATCCTCAACCTTAAGATCCAAAACCCCTGAAGCCTACCTAAGGTTTAGGGTTGAGGGGTTAGGG